ATGTCATCTACTGGAGCCCAGAAGAACTGAGCTTAGAACGGAGTGTGAGGGCTGAGCTGGGACAGACTGTGAGGACTGAGCTGGGGGGGACTGTGACGACTGAGTTGGGGGGGAATGTTAGAACCAAGCTGGTGGGGCTGTGAAGGACCGAGCTGGGGGGGGGGGTGCAAGGACTGAACTGGGGGAACTGTGCATACTGAGCTGGGGGTGGGACTGAGCTGGGAGGAGCTGTGCAGACTGAGCTTGGGGGGGGGAATGTGCAGACTGAGCTTTGGGGGGGGGGCTGTGCAGACTGAGCTGGGGGTGAGACTGTGCACACTGAGCTGTGGCTGCTTTTTTTTTTATTTGAGTGAATGCAAAGCTTCTTCTTTTTGGCATAGAGGAGGGCAAATAACATAATGAACTCTGCTTCAACCAATCAGATGAAGCTTTGTATGCATTCATAGGGTGTTATATACTAAAAAAGAAAGTGCAAAAGCTGGTGCTACCATGGACAGCTGCACCTGCTTCTGAGTGCACCAGATTTAGTAATTCTCCCCATTAGAATACAAAGCTTCCTATGATCACTCAGCCCAATCCTAATTTGTCTCGGCAATGGGACAGGAAGTCCATTTGATGCTGCAGCTGTCTCCCCGCCAGCACTAAGACTGAATCACATGACCGCTGATCACTCAGTTTGGAGAGCAGACTGTGCTCCATTAGCATCAATGGAGGGCATTTAAAACATCAGGAGTCTAAATGACTCCTGATGACTCATCAAAGAGAACCTATCCAACATTATATCACACAGGAGGCTTTAATAAGCCTTTTAATATGGCTTACCCGTAGGCACTGTAAACATCTCCTAAACGTGCATCATTTTGAGATATTCACTGGAGATTAATTGAGCCATGCCACAACCAAAATTTCCTTTGTGCATGTGCGGGAGTGACGACATCACAGCTCGACCAATCAGATGGCCAAAGCTCGCAAACCCAGAAGGAAGATGGAAGCTTGGTGCTGATTTGCATATTGTATGGCTATATCTCAGAAGTACTCTCCCCAGTCCAAAGGTTGATTGAACTGATGTAATAGTAGTAATGTATATTTCACTACACGCATATTTAGATTGCTTTAATTACACCTTCTTAGTGCATAGTAGGATTGTCAGACTAGAGCTCAGTGAATTCAAGTGTGGGACCATGATAGGTTGCCACCTGTGCAATAAGTCCATCCATGAAATGTCCTTGCTACTAAATATTCCACGGTCAACTGTTAATGGTATTATAACAAAGTGGAAACAACTGGGAACAACAGCAACTCCATGTAAAATGACAGAGTGGGGCCAATGCATGCTGAAGTGAACAGTGCGAAGAATCACCAAATGGCTGCAGAGTCAATAGCTCCAAACTTCTTGTGGCCTTTAGATTAGCACAACAACAGTGCATAGAGAGCTTCATGGAATGGATTTCCATAACCGAGCAGCTGTATCCAAGCCTTACATCACCAAGTGCAATGCAAAGCATTGAATGCAGTGGTGTAAAGCACGTTGCCACTGGACTCTAGAGCAGTGGAGACATGTTCTCTGGAGTGACGAATCATGCTTCTCTGTCTGGCAATCTGATGGACGTGTCTGGGTTTGGTGGTTGCAAGGAGAAACGGTACTTGTCTGACTGCATTGTGCCAAGTGTAAAGTTTGGTGGAGGGGGGATTATGGTGTGGTCTTATTTTTCAGGGGTTGGGCTTGATCCCTTAGTTCCAGTGAGGGGGAACTCTTAAGGTGCCAGTATACCAAGACATTTTGGACAATTCCATGCTTCCAACTTTGGGGATGGCCCCTTCCCAGTCGTGTATCATCCATAGGTGCAGGGTGTTCACTGCACATGGGCCCCGAGAGTTGGGGGGGGGGTGGCACTGTGCTGTGAACACCCTGCACCCATGGATGAGATGTTCCAAGAGCAAAGTCAGCAATGACCGGTGCAGCAGTGGTGACAGTCAAAAGCAGCGATCTCCCTGTATGGCTGTCAATGAAACAGCTGGAGGGAGAGGAGGAGAAACAGCTTCATTGAAACCCATACAGGGAAATTGCTGCTTTTAACTGCCCCCACCGCTGCACCGATCATTCCTGGCTGTACATCGGAGTTCCCTTCTGGACCCCCCCTGTGTGCTCGTCAGGCCCCCCCCCAGGTCTCTGATGCCCTGTCTTCTGTCTGACACAGTGCCCAGTCTCTCCCCCATCCTCCACAGCAATGGCAGAATAGAAAGCCCGGAACTACTCTGCCTCCCCTTGTCCCTTGAAATTGTGTACAGACCAGCAGACAGCTGTGCGATGCTTGTGAATGTGCCGGTAAGCCAGGAAATATCCATGTGAGTCCTTCTTTCCCTCCTTCCCTCTTTCCTTCCTTCCTTCCCTCTTACTATCCACTGCCATACACGCCACACTGTACATTCCCTATTTAACATTACCACATTCTTCACTATGTAAGTCATCTCAGACACTATTTAACCAGGGGCGGACTGACAACTCATGGGGCCCCTGGGCAATAGGGGATCATGGGGCCCCCGTGTCCTTGCCCAAACTCAAAAAAGCCTATGAAAAAGGTACCAGGGGCATCTCATGGGGCCCCCTACTGACCCCGGGCCCTCGGGCAGTGCCCGAGTTTCCAAATGGTCAGTCCTCCCTGTATTTAACCACACTCCTTTTAAACCACACCCAATTTTTAGCACAATATAAACCACACCCACTGTCCACCATTTTTTCTTTATCACTGCATAGGGCTCACTTTTGATCTTGCACATGGGCCCACTGATTTCATGATACACCCCTACCCTTTCCTGTTCCAACATGACTGCACACCAGTACACAGTGCAAGGTCCATAAAGACATGGATGAGTCCTGACCTCAACCCCATAGAACACCTTTGGGATGACTTAGAGCAGAGACTGTGAGCCAGGTCTTCTCGTCCGACATCAGTGCCTGACCTCACAAATGCGCTTCTGGAAGAATGGTCAAACATTCCCATAGACACACTCCTAAACCTTCCCAGAAGAGTTGAAGCTGTTATAGCTGCAAAGGGTGAGCCAACTCAGTATTGAACCCTATGGACTAAGACTGGGATTCCATTAAATTCACGTGCATGTAAAGGCTTTTGGCAATATAGTGTATATTAGCGATTTGATTTTTTACAAAGATATTAGAATTTAGCATGTAGTCCATAAATGTTCATACACAGTGACAATTAGAAGCATAAATGTCAAGAGAGCTCTTGTATTAACTGATTACAGTACATTTTGGTGTTTGTTTTTTTTTTTGCAGTTTCCTAAACAGTTGTTCATAAAACTAAACCAGCAAATGTATTAAAATAAAGATAATTGCTTTTGTTTATTTTGTATTTCAGTTTATTAGAAATTTATTTATTATTAATACGTATTTCAACATCACATCGTCAAGTACAGTTATGTTCTCTCATGTTTAATATCTTTATAAAGAACTACATAATACAAGAGCTTGTAATTGTTTTGATGATAAATTGAATATCATATTACATTTTATTGCTACGCTGTGTATTTTTTTTTTTTATGTTACTTATATATTTGACATCTAAAGGTCCCAGTTGGCTTTAGTATGTTTATTATAAATGCAGTGAAATGCACATAGATAAATTAAAACACATTCTATGTTCTGATGGTCGGACTGCAAAAGTACAATTTTGATGGATACATAGGAACCGATGGGAAAATAGAAGCAGTAATTGCAGCTTTAGACTCTAAGACCAATCTCCGAGGACAGTTTGGAGTGCTGCCTGTGCTAATATCTCTGTGTTGCGAGGAATGCATTTGCTGTATGTAAGAGTTGTATAGAGAATCGAGGTGACAAGTAAATATTTAAGGTTGTGAACTTATGAACTGTAGCTTGGATGGAAAGATATGGTGGATAATTGTTTCTGGAAATTTCCCAGTGAAACTAAACTCAGCCATGCTAGTTTGCATGGTGTTTGTTTTTCCCCTAGCATGTCCTTATTATTTTTTCTTGCCTTTTCTCCAAATTATCTGCTTTTCTCTATCAGCTCACTGGTGCCTTGCAGTTCATATGTCTTGATTAGGTCCTGCATGTTATAAACCTGCATGAGAGCATACCAACAACAAAAAAGCTTCACAGAAAGACTTGTTAAAAACCCCAAAATACAGCGACATCATCTTAACGAATTAAATCAGCAGAATGCTTCAGCTTACCTATGCTGGTTTTGGTGTAGCAGCATGTCTGGTCAAAAGGTCTTGATTTATTGGCTTCTTTGCTGAGCCTAGTGAGAGTCATATGGATACTTTACTTAGAAGAACTCTTGTCTCTCCTTCACTGTCGAGGTGATCATGTGATATATCTTTGCCTATCAAAGTTCTTGTTTAGGGCCAAATAGGCAGAGAAAAACCTGTACTTCAGACAGTTCCCTCTTTTGTTAATGTATTATCTATAGCATCTGTGCAGGAGGATAAACTCTTCAAAGTACCCCCCCATGATAAAATAACCCATTCAATTGTAACTCTTTGTTGCAAGTTATACAGTGCATCAGTAAATAAATATCTCAGTTATTCTATGAATGTTCTATGACAGTGCAGGCAAATAATAGTGTCCTCGAACCCCTCGTGTATTGTTTTGTTACTGTATTGTCTCATGTTCTGTCCCCCATATAATGTACAGCACTGAGCAAACCTTTGGTGCTATATAAATACTGTATAATAATAATAATTTCAAAATAACGTGGTTAGTGTTTCCTTTTGGTCCAAACATTGCATATTCATCGTCCAACCAAATGCCAAACAATTTATGATAATAATTGATCCATGATTGTGTATTCAAAAGTATCCTGACGTGTCAAAGTTTCAAATACCAATGTGTGTGCCAAAGGCTTTCAAACTCACCAGAAACATTGGAATGCATAAATAGAGAAGGTCACCACAGCTTGTTTTCCAAACGTCCAGGAATAGAGCAGAGTTTGATGGAATTTGTTCATTTGTCTCTACAGGTACAGATTTCAGTTTTGGATGAGAATGACAACAGCCCCCAATTTGACCCAACATCAGAATCAGTGGTCAATGTGGCGGAGGACTGTCCCACTGGCCGTCGGATAGCTCTAGTCATGGCTAGAGACCCTGATGCTGGAAATAATGGCGTGGTAAACAACTTTATGATGTTTTGTACTTTTTTTTTTTTTGGCAGTAATGCACCTACCATTAGAGTAGCATAGAGACTGCTATTATTGACATCTTCTGAAAATGGTAGGTGCCTGACTGTCATACACTAATTTAAATATTTTGATACCTACTGATTCAGGTATGCAGATCAGGACTTCTGACTTTATTTTGACTTTCCTGATCTGCATTACTTTTTCTGGGGCAGTGACTTGGAAAACCATTTAAGCAAGTGGATCATAGTAAAGGTTTACTTCTTTGCCTATTGACTTTGTTCTATGGATAGATAATCCATGATCCTAGACAGTCTCTTTTCAATAACTGTGATGCTCTGATTGTCACAAAGTGGTAACATGTATTCTTTTTTCATCTGTCCAAGGTGGCCTTTTCCATAGTAGGTGGCAATGCAGTTGGGCTGTTTGAAATCCGCACCACCAATGACACTTATGGTGAAGTTTTCTTGATGAAATCCCTGGACAGAGAATTGCAGGAGCTGCATGTGTTAAAGGTAATGGTAGTACTAGTTTGTAATACTAAGATATACCTTTTTTCTACCTCTGATACTTACAAACTATTTGGGCTGCATCATTTTTATTCCTTTTTTTAACCCATCTCTGGGGTGCAATTACAGTTTTTGTTTTAGCTATAAGGTAAACAACTTTGTATAGGCAGTCCCCGGGTTATGAACAAGATAGGTTCTTTAGATTTGTATGTAATTGGAACAGGTACATTTTGTAACTATAACTCCAGCTACAAAATTATTTTTAAGTTTTTAATAGCATAGTGAAGGGTTAATTGGCCATGCAGTTATGTGGGATTGCTGACAGGTCCACCAGACAGTAGGTGGCAGCTTGCGGTGGGCAGCAAGATGGCCACCTGGTGGTTTCCGTGACTAGCTTGACATCACATTGCCTCCATTCTTAAGTAAGAGTCATATGTAATTTGGATGTTTGTAACTCGGGGTGTGCCTGTATATGGAATCTCCTCATGTATCACTTATTTGATTACTGCAATGTATAGGTTGGCCCACATCCCTGCTAAATCAGTTGCTGGAAAATAAAAAAAAAAAGAAGCAGCACATTGACAGGCTTATCTTTTTGTCAGTTTGATTTCTATTCCTGTCAACATGCTCCTTGTTAGCACTTGGGCACTGAAGATCACCTGGCTACTTGTGCTGCTTCTTCTTTTTCCCAATCCCTTTTCCCTATGTTTTGTCCTCTTGAGGCAGCTGTCATTAACATATTACATATACCTCCCACAATTCTTCCCAAGATATTTTCTGGTGAACTTCTTTGAATTATTTTGGTAGGAATTGTCTTAAAGGCTAAGCTAGCCTTTGGAACATGTCAAATTTGCCACCTGTATTTAGGGTGGAACATGTAATCTGTTCCAGCTCCTGCCATCCGTCCACCGAACCCCCCTCCCAGTGACAGCTGGGGTTCTTCTCCCTTCACCCACACATCCGCATCATTCATTCATTCACGGATTCGCATAAATGAATAAACTACAAGTACCATCTGCCACAGCAAAAGACAGACTTGTAAATTCAACGAGCTGTGGGGGTGCTGATAATCACTCTCCTAGTCCACTGATATGTCCTCCAGCTTTCAAAAAGAGAGGATATGCCTGCAGGAGCCCACATTGCACCCGTGATCTACTGATCGCAATTGTAATGCTTTCCAGGCTCCTGAAGGAAAAAATAAAAATGTATTTCTGCAAAAATATGTTCATTTATTTTTTATTTGTAAAGGTGAATTACCCTTTAAAATAAAATGTTTCCTGCCCCTCTCACCAAAGTGTATTATGTTGATAAAGATGAATAGGCCACTTTATCACAAGGATCCTTTCAGACACTTGTGTGGAGGTAGTTCGTCTGACCAGATCTGGTAAATTACAGAGTGTAGGAGACAGAGTGGTCAAACTCTGATGTACATTAGATTACACGGTCATATTTAGTACTGCCAAACTGCTACAACAGTAAAGTGGAAATGAAAATAAAAATGGAAGTTATTTTCTAAGAAGTGGAAGTTGATTGAATGTCTCTTTCTGTCATTTGTTGGGCTTTAATACTATATTAATGTGTATTTATTTATGCCAACAGTCTGTAGATTAGAAAAAAAAACCTTGTAATACAGTACAGTTCACATTTCAGTGCTGAATAGTGATCCACATGTTGCTGCATGAACTAAATAAACCAATATAAGTAGCCTGTTATTTGGTTTTGTTGTCTGAAATATAGACAAGAGGACCTGAGATGTAGCTGCACAATGTTAGATCCATCTGTATAAAAAACAGACAGCCCATATATTACCCAGAATACATAAACTCTTACTTCCAGCCAATGATACTTTAATTGTATGGATTCTGCCAGCAGCAGACTGTCTTTGTATATTTTAAAACTGAATTTTTTAACTGACTCTCTTTGGCATACAAAGTTGCTGACATGATCTAGCAAGCAACTTTGTATGCCAAAGAGAAATGTGTAAAATACAGGAAAACCTAAATAAAGTTATATAATGTTGATATACATTACCTTAAAGCAGAACTCCAGAATATAATCTCAGGATCTTTATGATATATAGTATGTGTATATAGTATGTCCTGTGTATATAGTATGTCCTAAATTACTCTCATGGTTGCAGGAATCCTATATCTGCACTTTTCTTCAACCCCTAAGGATTTTTGTAATGGTATTCATTTGTGCTGTAGATAACTGTAAGAAAAAAATGGCTGCAGAAGACTTTCTCCCCATACTGCTGATTGGATAGTAAGGGAGTAGCAGCACATTGTTGAATTCACCTCTAACCATAAAAGGTCAATTTTAAAAGTACAATTTTGTATCAGAATGGGAAGCCCATTGCATGAACCATATAGAAGGCTCCCCAAAAGGCTATAAAACAAAAAAAAGCTAGCAACCCATGTCAGGATCCTCAGGTCTTGACTGTCATTGAGTTCAAGGCATTAACATGAATTACAAATGCTCATACACACAGACCATAGTTGGCCTGAAGAGAAACACCAGGTCACCCGATGCTCTGTTATGTGCAGGATGGCCATGATAAATACTCCAGTAGACATAAATATTGACCTCTGTGTACTTTGTTAATGAACACCATGCACATGAACCCTTAAAGGTAGCATAAAAATGGTGTAGAATATTTTCACTGTACAGTAGTCTAGATGAGCTAAATGACATCATTTACCTGTTAGGTGTACTATCATGGCTGCCAAAAAAAACAATGCTCAATAGCTCAGTGCTAAATAGAAGATTACATAGATGGGTTACATGAAATAGTCTAGAATGTTCACTGATTTTTTTTTTTGCAGACTTCCAAATGTGCTGCCATAGTTTTTTTTCTAGCAGGCCTTGAGATCTTACAAATTTGTATTCTGTTTTAAAATAGGAGGAGGTATTTGTATGTGAGTACAGAAGTCAATTAAATACATGTCTTTAGAAACCAATAGCTCTAGTTTGTTGTCTTAGTAATAACTACATTATTTCTTTTTAACTATGTAGATTCAGGCTACAGATAAAGGCTCTCCATCTCGAAAAACAGATTACACCCTAACCGTGAACGTCTTGGATGTGAATGACAATCCTCCTATTATTGCCAGTCCATATGGTTACAATGTTAGTGTGTATGAGGTATGTAAAAATATGTTGGTGCAAAGTTGCAGACTATTGATTTCAACAGTAGGAATGTTACAAGGCTTATCATGCAGAGAATTTATCAGAACAGATACTGCAAAACATAGTGTAAAAAAAAACGTTTTTTCCAGAAGCAAAATTGACAAGATATTGTGTTTCCAGAAAGCAGAAGCTGCATTAGTTTCTTTATCTCAAACTTTTTTATCCTTTTTTTCTACTTGGTCTTACTAAAAGCAGTGGTATCAGCAGTAGCTGATAATGAGCGCTATTGGTATAGCTATGGTATGCACTCATTTATTGACTTATGTGAGTGATTTATTATGCATTTTTTCAGGTGTTAGATGTTTTTTTTCTTTTTTTTATATATTTTTACATCTCATTTGCACCATGAATATACAGTGTATATATTGACTTTGAAGCTATTGGTATAAAGCCAAACTGATAGTGACCAGTGAAGTGTTGAAAAACGGCAAAGATGATGGCAATGTTATCCAGAGTAAAAAAAATAAAGATTTTATTATCCACTTGAGAGAAATTAAAACCATTAATCATGGTCATATATCCAATGTAAATGAAATAAAGGGTGGGTAATATAGCCCATGTGTATGGATGTAGGCAATACAATTGGCTTACTGCTGAGGTAACAGGTCAAACCAGACCAGGGTACAGGAGGCAGTGGTAAGGAAATACTGTAAACTGCTCTACTGGAAGATAGGCCGTCAACTGTGAGAAGGAAACACTCACAGATCAGGATACTGTCTCGGATGTCCTCGGAGCTCTCGCTCCGGAAGTGACGTTGGTGCGCATCGGAAGTGACGTCAGTGAAGCACAGAAACTGGGAGATGAACGCTGATCATTGGGCAGAGAAGACCACAAGAAGTCCAGGTTGCTATGATGATGCATTTTGCACAGATTCATGCGTTGTCAAAGTGACTTTGCAATATCCTGACCTGTGAGTGTTTCCTTCTCACGGGTGGTGACCTATCTTCCAGCAGTGCAGTCCACAGGATTTCCTTACTGGATAAACAGCACTGTCTCTCCAGCACCTCAAAAAGGGGTGAATGCCAGGAAAAGGCCAGAGAGTTTAATGAGTTGATGGCCTATGGATAAACTCTTGGTGATGCAGATGGGAAATAATCAAAAACTGGAAAAGAAGCACACAGGTGGCGCAAACACCTTGCTCATTATCCAAGGTTTCTTAAAAATAAAAAAGACAAAAAACAT